TTAGCATCAGGTGAACTGTGTGCTCGTTGTCACCATTATTTCTAAAAAATGTTTTACAGAGTATATTTTATATACTCAGTTATACAGAGTATATTTTAAAACTGTAAGCGATGTCTATAGGTTTCTACAGAGTATATTTTAAAACTGTAAGCGATGTCTATAGGTTTCTACAGAGTATATTTTAAAACTGTAAGCGATGTCTATAGGTTTCTACAGAGTATATTTTAAAACTGTAAGCGATGTCTATAGGTTTCTACAGAGTATATTTTAAAACTGTAAGTGATGTCTATAGGTTTCTACAGAGTATATTTTAAAACTATAAGCGATGTCTATAGGTTTCTACAGAGTATATTTTAAAACTGTAAGTGATGTCTATAGGTTTCTACAGAGTATATTTTAAAACTATAAGCGATGTCTATAGGTTGAATAAAACTATTTTTACGGATTTTATCGCGTTTAATTAACTTATTTTATATTCCCGACGTTTCGGTTGCTTTCCAGCAACCGTGGTCACGGGGGACTGGAAAGCAACCGAAACGTCGGGAATATAAAATAAGTTAATTCAACGCGATAAAATCCGTAAAAATAGTTTTATTCAATGTGTAGTGTTCGCGTAAATATAAGAAATCATGATGTCTATAGGTTTCTACAGAGTATATTTTAAAACTGTAAGCGATTTCTATAGGTTTCTACAGAGTATATTTTAAAACTATAAGCGATGTCTATAGGTTTCTACAGAGTATATTTTAAAACTGTAAGCGATGTCTATAGGTTTCTTGAGTGCTTTCCAGCATGGTAACGGGGTACTGAGGTGTTCATTCAATATTTATAAGCCGAAGATAACTATTGATAGTCTATCCTAGCTACGTTTTACCTTCAGCTTTATATGATCTGATCCAAAATTAGATTTTAGAAAAGTGTTCGTGTGCAAGTACTGTGTTCAAAGTTTTTTTTTCATAAGTTCTGTAGATTATTTTTAATGTAACTTATATATTAACTTAACATCGACTTATAAATAAGTCAATGTTACCGTGCAGTGGCGGTGTACGAATATCCACTACCCCATTTCATACCGTGGTTGTCGTAAGAGGCGACAGTGGGAAACAAATTAGAAGATGGGCAGCGGTGTCTTCATAATAACTTGCCAAGCGTGGCAACTATGGCAAATGTCCTCCTATGAGGCGGTCTATGGGGAGGCCTATGTTCAGCGGCGGACTTTAATAGGCTGTAACGAACTTATTTATAGCAGAGAGCATTAAATGTGCCTACAATCGTAGCGTCACTGAGCTTGTTTAATGAAATTTATCTCCCTTAATTTTATCATTCTACAAGTCACTAACAGCTTTTTTATAGTACAAGTTAACAACGTTACTGTTAAATTCCTAATAAAACTGCTCACTTTTTATGATCTCTTAGTTCTTTTAAGAATACTTGAGACCGCCTTTTATTGCTTTCACTAGAGAGATACGGCTGTATCCACGCTGCAACATTAATGAAACATAATCCCATTAGTCAGATAAAATTCAGTTTGAATTGTATTGATAATATTACTCGTGTGAACTGAATGGGTTGCAATGTAGTATGTACATTACATATTATGTGTATAAACTACTATACAAACGAACATACTAATAATATTAAGTTGGGCATCTGTATGCTGCGGTTTAAGAATCGTTGGGATAGTGCAGTATCGGTATTTACGATACGAGTACGTCGCTTTCTCTACCCCCTGCGGCAGAAACAGTAGATAGTAAACGACAGAACCATAAGCGAAGCGGTATAGGCGAAGGAAGGTGATTCACGGACCATCCTTTTATGTTTGGGTTTGAAGTATGCTAGTGTGACAGTATAACTAAGGAATGGAGCGATTCCACCTTAGTCGTCAGAGCAACTTGCCTTCTTTGAAGTTGACAGCCAGAGTCATATGGGTTGTAGTAGTCACAAACAATAAGGTAGATAATTAGCTCGCTTAATATTTTCATAAAATAAAGAAATGCGTGCATATATTATACAGTGCGTATATTACACAGACATTGCCTTTTACCGTACATAAAACCAAAAAGCCGTGATAGCTCAGGCTTAGTGCTCGCTGTAAATTTTACAGCACGCGAGCAACTAGGGTGCGATCCCCGCCGGCTCTAATGACATTGTTAATTGCAATTTTAAGTGCTGATTTACCACGCGCTTGGCGGTGAAGGAAAACATCGTGAAGATACTTGCATGTCTGAGAAATAAGAAAAAAATATTTCAAAGATATGTGAAGTTCGCCTCGCCAAAACTCATTGCGACATAATTAAATACTTTTTATAACACGGTTAATTATTAATTTGAAAATTATTGTTAATTAAATAGGGAATTTACTAGATTTTTCTAGGAGAAAAAAAAATAAAAGAAAAATCCATGTATGTATTAGTTTTTTTAAAGTTAGTTTTCTACTGTTTATTAAAAGAAAGTGTACAGGCTGTTCTGTATTCCCTATATCCGTGGTTCTGTACCTGCTGTTTTTTGTCAGTTTGTAGATCTGTCTGGTGAGGGAATATACCGTGAAACAATAGTTTAATTTCGTTCTCCTAAAGGGACTATTCTCATCGCCCTAATTTAAATTCCCTTGTGGTTTTTTAGTAACGTGTTTAATGGTTCAGAACATTGACTGAGGATATGATTTACGATGTGTTTTCTAATCTGTTGTGGACCATATACTTAAAATTGTTTCTGTTTTTGTTTGAATTTATTTTTTAGGTGTTGGTTTTGTTGGATATCTTTATTACGGTGTGTAGGTATGAAAACGTTACCTCGCTCCTTGGAATTGTCAAGAAAATTAGTCTACTAAAGCGGGGAGAATTTAGAAAAAACAACACGTATACATTCAATACTTAAATATGTCTTAGCGCGCACTGGCCGAGACAACCGTGAGTGCTTCGGCAGTTTTTTTTTCATAAGATAAAAACAAATACAAATTTATAAAATTTGTTTTCAACATAACATAACATAACATAAACACTCACGCCTGTCACCCAGAGGGGTAGGCAGAGATTATGGACTTCCATTTGGCACGATCCTGACACACCTCTCTCGCTTCCTCCACATCCATATACCTACGCATACACGCTCGTCGGTTAAAGGTACTCTTGATTTGGCCCATTGGTAATATATCGCCAATTTGGTCGATAAACTTTCGCCTAGGGCGACCCTTCCCGACTATGCCGTTCACCTCTGCAACATAAATTTGCTTTGTCACTCTTTCCTCATTCATTCTTTCTACATGGCCAAACCACCGAAGCATTCCTTTCTTAATCCTGGTCACAACATCATCTTGCAAACCACACTCTTCTCTTATTAAACAATTTCTCACTCTGTCATTCAGCTTCATCCCTAACATACTCCTTAATGACCGCATTTCTACAGCATTTATTCTACTACTCTCTCTCATGCTTCTTCTGCCACACCCAACTTTCACTACCATACATTAAAGTAGGTACTAACACAGCATTGTGAATTGCCATACGTGCCTTTTTGGACACATTCTGACTTATCACAATAGAGCGCAGAGCCCCATTCACTCTATTTCCTGCATTCACATTTTCAACATGACCTAAAAATAATGATCCTTTTCATTTTATTTAAGTTTTACATGGTTTCATTATGGAATCTCTGCAACACGTTTAAACACGTTTAAATAGCGATTTACTCTTACCTTTAACTCTTAACTCTTTTATGTTTTTATTTTGAGACAACTATTATATTTCACGTTTCTCTCTTTACACAACTACAACAGTATTATGGTTTTTGCGCAATAATTAAAAAATAGAAGAAAAGAACCTTAAAAAAAGGTTTACAGAGGTTCAAAAATGTTAAAAAGTTGCTGTACTAGTCGTACTCGTAAGTAAGCAGTACACTGCGTACAGTAACTATTAGTTAATCTGTGGTATTACGTCGGCGTCACCTTAAATATTTATTGTACAGATATTGGTTCTATCCTTTCTAAGCAGTGATTATTGTCATTGTAGAGAATGCCTTTCATTTTATTAGACCCATTGAATTAGAGATAAGGTGGTACGTTTTCTATGCTTTCACCTACAAAAATCGGTGAAGGGTTTCGGCTGTGGGAATTATTCAAATATTTTCAAAAGTTTAAATACTACAATACTCGTTAGAATTTTAAATCGAATGTATTCAACGTTATATAAAATGATAAAAAGCGGTAACAAATTGAAGTGTACTTAAAAGCATACTTCTAATGCAGGTCAATTACTAAAAGTAGTTAATGATACAAAATAATTTTAAAATACCTTTCTAATGATATTCCACCATTCCATGTGGCAAGTCTAAAAATTTTAGAAGCACATGTTTACAAAAGTAAAGTATAACAAATAAATGACTGTCATCATCGTCATTCACCCTTCACAAGTCCATTGCTGAACATAGGCCTCTCCCAAAGACGAAAACCTGAATCACCCCCATCTATTAGACTTTCTGCATGATGTATCATTTTTATTTTATAATAGACATCCATTCGGCCAAAAACTCTTATAACTTATAGCGCAAAGATATCAGGTCAGACGGAAAGTGCGAAACTATCTATTCCATCATCATACAAAGACCTCATAATTTTTATTAAAATCCTGTACTTTGTTATACTTGACTAACTGTATAAATAATCAAAATTATTCATTGGGTTATAAGATTTAGTTTATATGTTTGGTAGGTAGTGAAGTAGAGCCTGTATAGTGCCACTGCTGGGCACAGGCGTTCTGCCGTTCTTCTACAGTGCGTGTTAACGGATTCTATATTTTCTTGAGATAGGTTTATTATAGATTACCCTGACACGCATGTTTGCTTATGATGGATACCTTCACTGCCGAGCACGTTTAACTCGAGTCACTCGCTTACTATGTAATTCATGGCGTGCGACTAATTTCGAAACTACCACGGCACTATCTTATGGATATCTAACATATGTATCTAGTGGTGTAGATGTAATTTATTGTTATTTGTTGCAGTTGGCTTCCTCGTCCTCGTGTTCTACCTCTGGGGCGATCCTTATAAAAGGGGATTCTTCTGCGATGATGAATCTCTCAAGCATCCCTACAAGGACTCGACCGTCACCAATGTCATGCTGTATATTGTCGGCATCGGTCTTCCTGTGGTCACGGTAAATACTGTTTTTCAATCTGTTTGTTCAATATGTTTTTTTTTCCTTTAGCAGTACCGCCCGCAGTTTTTGAACGTAGTAAAGCCATGCTGCAGCTATATCAGTAGTATAGTTATGCACTAATAGGTCGGCTCGATAGGGGAGGACCACGCTCTTACAGAATACCAGCGTAAAATAGCAGCTTAATGCTGCTGTGTTTCGTATGGTGAGTGTAGAGAACCGGAGAAACGAGGCACTCTATCTTAGTCCTCACGAGTGACAACGCATCTGCATTTTGATTCTTATTGGTACTGGAAAGTGGTTCTAGAAAGAACAAATTAGAGCTTGTGAAAGTATTTCATTTACATTGAAAAGATTCATTTCTTTTAATTCTATAAATATTGTTATATCTGTTATTTTAGATGGAATATCTTTATTATTTATAATATTTGTATTAATTATTTCATTGTGTAATTTATTTAGATGTCTATGGGCCACAGCAACTACTTACCACAGTGTAGTGTCCTCGTTTGTCACCCTTATCCTATAAAAAAAACCTATCGTACATAGTAAATTGTAGATGAATATGAATGAATATGAAATTGTAATGGCTACACTTGGCAAATGAACTGCAAATCATATTTCTCTTTGTTTTATTTTGCAAAATTAAATTGAGTTTTCGCGCTATTCGAATATTTTCATAGCAACGTTTGAAACGAATAACTTTCATCGTTAGATGCACAAAATGTTCCTAATGAAGTTTTAATTAGGCACACGAACATGTTCTATGTCCCAAAGTTCCCCACAAATTTTTATCTTGTATTAAGTTATCTGTTCACTAAGCCATTTCTCTGGAAATTCTCTCATGGAATTCGTTATCGGCAACTTTATCGATGGTATGGACACTCTTTAGACAATTATTTGGAAATGTTCAATCTTTCTCATTTCTTCTTATTATGTAAAACTTGATCACGTTAAAACTTTTTCTGACTTTATTAAGTAGCATAAACACCTCTCAATAATCTATATGTTGAAATATAAGCGACATCCACGTTATGTGAGAGTTTTAGACTATCTTAAACTTTATATATACACCTTTAATATATTTATTGTGCACTTGTTTCTTTTATTGTTCTATCGTACGTAAGTTTTCTGCTAATATTAATTCAGGATCACATTTCCCTTAATTTCCGCACAAATGCTGGTGCATTCATGCTACACGCCACCGGTGGAGTGACTGTGAGACCCGGACGTAGGGTTTGCACGACTATCTGTGATTCCTTCCTTATTATGCGTCTTGCAATTTTTAAGATGCTTAAAGCGTTTCTAATTTCGCTCTGAATGACGTCCGGGATAGTACCAAGATATCGTCGGATGAGACTTGCTCTTTCGTCTGTGGTCCGTAGAACTTTTCAATCTCACTCAAAACCTCCGGTCTATGGGAAGCTATGCTGACGATGCGGTCTTCTATTGTGATATTTAGGTGTTATCGCCAGACGAGACTGTCAAGGTTTTGATAGCCTGCTGTCGCTAAATGGTTTGTTGAAACAAGTTATATTATAACTGTATGTTTACTTGTTAGAAAGTTGTCTAATAAATTACCTTTATTCTTTAAATAATAGTCGAAAACTGCAACTTCATTTTCTAGTAGCCATGTGATATGATATATTCGACGTGTTATGCAAAAGCTTAGCTTCGTCCGCATGGATAGTTTCATTCATTGGACGGCACTGTTAAACGGTTTTACGATACAAGATGATAAATATTTATTGTCCCGCTCTCGGATAACATCATCACATTTTTTCTTACATGTATATATTATAAAAAAAATGTTAGTTTTTTTTTAAGTCTATTAAAGTGCTGGACTTTTAACTCGTTTATGTTAATCAAACGATCCCTGGCGGTTAATTCTAAAAAAAAGTTACGATTATTTCCTTCTAGAGTCGTTATCAGTGGCACAATCAAATTTTAACCGTGATCGTTAGGCCCTACCATGTGTTTGAGATTCCATGATATAGTCACGACAGATTCCCACGGAATGCTCTATCGATTTTATTACTGTGAGTTTAAATGAAAGATTTCTATGTAAATATATATCTACATATAAGTTAAAGAAACGTCTTTGTTAGGAAATTATAACATCTAGGAGAATGTACGGCGCTTGAAAAATGTCATTCTATTTTTGTCACCAAATTATACGTAGTAGTACAGAATAAATAATAGTGCAAGATGTAGTAGCTGGAAGTTTTAGTAGTATGCGAGCAAACCGAATTCGATCGTTACAGGTACCACCGAAATAGCTAATTTTAAAAAAAACTTACTGTCCACCTGATGGTAAGTGGCTACTGCAGCCCATGGACGCCTGCAACAAACTTCAAATAAAGAAGTTTCCAGATGCATTGTCACCTCTGAGGTCTAAGATGGAATGTCACGCAGCTTGTAAATATACTAGCTCTCTGTACCCTTCACATCAGAACACAGTAGTACACGCACTGCTATTTAGCAACAGAAACAGGTAAGGTGGTACCTACCCAAACAGACTTCTAGACAGAGAAGACCTCCCACCACATAAAACCTGATTTCTGAAAAATTTAAAATATTTCGAAGGCATGTGAATAGAATAGAATAAAATAAATTTTTTATTCAATATAGATCACACGTGTAATTATTATTGAAAGTATTTTTTTTACTTTACCACTGGTTCGAAAAGAAAACCTCTGTCCTGGTAAGAACCAGCAAGAAACCCCAGCGGGACTTTACAATACAAATGATTATAAACTATTTACAAAATTTATTTAAGAAAACTGTTTGGAAGCGACCACCTCATTCCCAGGGGTTATTATCAACCATGTATTCATTTATACTATTATAACCCTTTTTGTACTTTTTCAGCTTAACAAAACATTTAAACTTCGTAATAGAGATAGCCTGTACACTTTCCGGGACCTTGTTGTAATAGCGTATACATTGCCCTTTGAATTACTGACTCTGTATAGTGAAGTCCGCCATCTAGTATTGGGGCAGCGCGGGAGACTCTTACTTTTATAACCTTCCCAGGAATGAGAGCTCTGTATCCACCAGTGGGACGTTTAGGCATTTACTTTGCTTATTAACACGTTTTTATTAGCTTTATCTATATGTATGCATATATGGACGTAATGGAATTTTATAATTCAGTTCTGAATCCCATCTGTATTCGAACGTCTGAATCATCTGAAATCTTGCAGATACATTGAGAACCGTTAACAATACAATAATTTCATTACTATGACACAATGTTCGCACCAAGATCATTACAGATTTATTTTAAGTTTTGAATCATAAACTAACTTGAACAAACAATACTAATGTAAAATGGAAAAGGTTACATTAATATTAAATATAACAAAGCAAACACAATTCTTATATTCTATCGTAAAGAGTCATACTTATTTAAACGAATACAAAGATAACATTTATATTGGCTACGCTCCAATAAATGTACAATATTTTCAATTTCTTCTTTTGTGGATACAGGAAATGTTATAATGTTTATGTCAGTAGTATAATAAATATAATAACAAAACACCTGAGGACTAGTTTCAAAGCAGCGCAAGGCTCACGGTAAATATAAATTTATCGTACAAACATTGTGGGAAATTGTAACAGTGTCCACAAATATATCCCTGTAGTCTCATAGAATGAACTTACGATACCTATAAGATGGAAAGGCGGGATAGACGGTCATCTATACTGACAAAATAAAGCGGAAAAGTTTTTATGTTTGTTTAAACACGCTAATCTCTGAAACTACCAGTCCGATTTGAAAAATTCTTTTGATATATTATAGCCAGATACATGGGAAATAGTATATCTAGCATTAGGTCACACCTCTCAGCTAACCTTAAATATTGATTTTTGATATGCAAGTCAGAAGAAAAAGCGCTCCGGAACTGCTTTATCCGCGTGCGCCGGCATAATAGTTAGTGCATTACATACATTGCTATCGTCTTGTCGCGCGGCTTAGACACGTGATATACACGGGTAAAACCGCAGGGCACAGCTAGTACATTATATATTAGTTTGCTATCAAAAAAAATTTTAGTCGAAACATTTGGCAGCGTATTTTTTTTTATATTACTTCTGTATTAATATTTTGATTAGACTTACAACGAATATTCGGTTATTATTCGGTACTATTCGACTACTTTTATACTATTTGGTCGATTACCGTATATCTAGGTACTGTTCGGCCGAATATCGAATAGTTAAGTAAGAGGTTTATTGTAGTTAAAATATTGGCAAATTATTAAAAAAGAGCTATCAGATAAATGTCTATTAGCTCGAATTATCATATCGTTAAAGTAAATATCTATATAATATATCAAAATAATTTCCTTGGTGCAGAAAGACAATTATTTTTAATTAATTCTTTTAAGCAGCTTTAGTAGACTATAAAATTACAAGTGTTTTCAATATTTACTACAATCAAGCTGAAATGCTTGTGAGTGGTTTACAACTGTAGTTGAATGACGGATTGAATCCACCAGTTTTTAACCACTTGCTGTCTTCTGTGTTTCTCTGTACGAGGAGCTATATATTTGAAATTTTAAATATAGCTCATAAAATATAATATATGGATGACGAAGTAATATAGATTCACTTTCTTGTTGTTGTTTGTTTGTATCTTGTGTTCTGTACAAATTTTGTAAAGGATTTTAATTTAACTTCTCGACGGGCAAAATATATGAAACTTGAAACATCTCCAAACTGGAAACTTGGTAAAAATATAGTCCGTCTCCGTCGTTAAGACCTTTGGCTACTTTCACTACATCATATTGCTAAGTTCCATATAAAAATTGTAGCTTAGACAATTCCTACGTCGTCTAAGTATGCATGTAATATAATATGCAACAAATAACATAAAACACAAGTGTGTCTTCTTTAACAAGGCTCCCCAGACGACAGAGGCGACGATTTATCATTGTTATAGTAAGAGGAGGCAATTGTGCTTAATAATCTGTAACAGCATTGTTTTTATC